CCTCTCCTCACACTCACCTCACCTCACCTATCCTCACCTCACCTCACCTCACCTCACCTCACCTCACCTCTCCTCACCTCACCTCACCTCACCTCACCTCACCTCTCCTCACCTCACCTCACCTCTCCTCACCTCACCTCACCTCACCTCACCTCACCTCACCTCTCCTCACCTCACCTCATCTCACCTCACCTCTCCTCACCTCACCTCTCCCACCTCACCTCACCTCACCTCACCTCACCTCACCTCACCTATCCTCACCTCACCTCCACCTCACCTCCTTTCTCACCTCACCTCTCCTCACCTCACCTCTCCTCACCTACCTCACCCCCACTATCCTCACCTCACCTCACCTCACCTCACCTCTCCTCACCTCACCTCACCTCACCTCACCTCACCTCACCTCACCTCACCTCTCCTCACCTCACCTCACCTCACCTCACCTCACCTCAACCTCTCCTCACCCTCACCTCTCCTCAACCTCACCTCACCTCTCCCACCCCACCTCCTCCTCACCTCACCTCACCTCACCTCACCTCACCTCTCCTCACCTCACTTCACATCACTCGCCTCCACCTCTGCTCACCTCACCTCTAGTCACCTCACCTCTCCTCACCTCATCTCACCCACCCTACATCACCTCACATCACCTCACATCACTCCTCTCCTCACCCCACCTCTAGTCCCCTCACTTCACCTTAGTCACCTCACCTCTCCTCTCATCTCACCTCATCTCACCTCACCTCACATCAACCTCACATCACCTCACCTCTCCTCACCTCACTTCACATCACCTCACTTCACCTCTCCTCACCTCACCTCTAGTCACCTCACCTCTCCTCACCTCATCTCACCTCACTCACCTCTCCTCGCCTCACCCTCTAGTCACCTCACTTTCACCTCACACCTGACCCAATAAGCTGAGTGCACTCCCCTTATATTATTCCACTATCTCAGCCTTAGTTATTCACTGTCTTTAATCAACAAAACGTGGTTAATATTATTATTAATTTTTCTAAATTGTTCGGGGTTTTCCCCTGTGTTCCTCCATGAGTCAGTTCTCACTTTGTTCTGGTCTGGCACTAGTCTCATTATTCCGTATTGAGACTGGGCTATTATCGGGAGACCAATAATTGAATGACTAAATTTCTGGGATCATCAATAATTTGGGGCTGACTATACTGGGATCATCATAATGGGACTTACTATTACTGGATGATCAATAATGTGGGCTGTTACTGGAGTCACCAATAATGGGACGACTGTTACCTGGGATGATCAATAATAGGATTGACTGTTACTAGGAAAGATCAGTAATGGGACGGGCTATTACTGGGGATGATCAATAATGGGATTGACTGTTACTAGGATGATCATAATGGGACTGGGCTATTATGGGATATCAATAATGGGATTGACTGTTACTAGGATGATCAGTAATGGGACTGACTATTACTGGGATCACCAATAATGGGATTTACTGTTACTAGGATGATCAGTAATGGGGCTGACTGTTCTGGGATATCAATAATGGGATTGACTGTTAAATAGGATGATCAGTAAAGGGACTGACTATTATGGGATCACCAAAAATGGGATTGACTGTACTAGGATGATCAGTAAAGGGACTGACTATTACTGGGGTCACCAATAATGGGATTGACTGTTACTGGGATGACCAATAATTGGGACTGACTATTACTGGGATGATCAATTTAAAGGGATTGACTGTTACTGGGGGTGATCAATAATAGGACTGACTATTCCCGGGATGATCAATAATGGGATTGACTGTTATTGGGATCACCAATAATGGGACTGACTGTTACTGGGATTATCAATAATGGGACTGACTATTACTGGGATGATCAATAATGGGACTGACTATTACTCGGATGATCAATAATGGGACTGACTATTACTCGGATGATTAATAATGGGACTGACTATTTCTGAGATGATCAATAATGGGACTGACTATTATTGGAATGATCAATAATGGGACTGACTATTAATGAGATGAACAATAATGGGACTGACTATTACTGGAATAATCAGTAATGGGACTCACTATTACTGGGATGATCACTAATGGGACTGACTGTTACTGGGATGACCAATAATGGGACTGACTATTACTAGGATGACCAATAATGGAACTGACTATTACTGGGATGATCAATAATGGGACTGACAAAGAGTACGCAACCTTTATTCGGCCCATGTACACACCCTCATTTACAGGCTATCTCCCCCAACCAGCGAACCAGGGGACTGAGGGTTGACGATGGGGCCCCGTCGTTCAACCAGTACCCAGGTTCCAGCCAATGAGAAGATGGTTTTGGCAATCGCAGAGGTGTTGTGGGTACCACTCTCCTGTCTGCCCTTGTCATTCCGATTCTAGAGCTGGTTGAAGCACGGTCTGCTCTCTAGTGGCTTCTATTTTGCCTTGCTTACCGTCGAGTGCACTAATACCTATTGTTGTACATAATGTATATAGTGTACATACTTCTGTTCTAAATTGGTGAAGGATAATATAAGTCAAAAGTTTTCTGCTGTGTTTATTTTGCTCCCTTTACACCCAGGATAACAGGCCATTTGAACTCCTGGGTTGTAATATTGACTATTACTCGGATGATCAATAATGGGACTGACAATTTCTGGGATGATCAATAATGGGACTGACTATTACTGGAATGATCAATAATGGGACTGAATCCCTCTTCTTCAATTGTCTCAATCATACACTCTCATGTATTGAACTGAAAGAACCATTGGTAAGCGAAACGTCTTCGTGACGACGATGCCCAATTGTTAACGTTCCTCGTTCATCAATCCAGCGTCAGTGCTGGAAGCCGCCGCCCTCTGAATGACCAATGAACGTCTCGCTGTGGCATCTCAACATTGCTCTTGGCAGAAAGTTGTGGGCGCCTGACTCAGCTACTCAGGTGTGTGTCTGACTCAGCCACTCAGGTGTGTCTGACACAGCTGCTCAGGTGTGTGTCTGACACAGCTGCTCAGGTGTGTGTCTGACCCAGCTGCTCAGGTTTGTGTCTGACACAGCTGCTCAGGTTTGTGTCTGACACAGCTGCTCAGGTTTGTGTCTGACACAGCTGCTCAGGTGTGTGTCTGACACAGCTGCTCAGGGGTGTGTCTGACCCAGCTGCTCAGGTGTGTGTCTGACCCAGCTGCTCAGGTGTGTGTCTGACCCAGCTGCTCAGGTGTGTGTCTGACACAGCTGCTCAGGTGTGTGTCTGACACAGCCGTGTTCAGAGACACACAATGTATCCTCGGTGCAGTGGAATGCAGTGCGATATAATGCGATACGATGCAATGGGAGTGTTCTGCGATATCTCAGAAAGGTAATGGCTATCGTATCTCACTCTGAGTGGGCGCTGACTTTACGTTCAGCTGAGAAACGCGATTGAGGTTCGTCACTCTGCTGGTTGACGACGCGTTGAGTCCAGGAGATATTAACCAACAGTTATTCGTTATTGTATTAGACTCGTCATTGTAGTGGACTCGTCATTGTAGAGGACTCGTCATTGTAGTGGACTCGTCATTGTAGTGGACTCGTCATTGTAGTGGACTCGTCATTGTAGAGGACTCGTCATTGTAGTGGACTCGTCATTGTAGTGGACTCGTCATTGTAGTGGACTCGTCATTGTAGAGGACTCGTCATTGTAGTGGACTCGTCATTGTAGAGGACTCGTCATTGTAGTGGACTCGTCATTGTAGTGGACTCGTCATTGTAGAGGACTCGTCATTGTAGTGGACTCGTCATTGTAGAGGACTCGTCATTGTAGTGGACTCGTCATTGTAGTGGACTCGTCATTGTAGAGGACTCGTCATTGTAGTGGACTCGTCATTGTAGTGGACTCGTCATTGTAGAGGACTCGTCATTGTAGTGGACTCGTCATTGTAGAGGACTCGTCATTGTAGTGGACTCGTCATTGTAGTGGACTCGTCATTGTAGTGGACTCGTCATTGTAGAGGACTCGTCATTGTAGTGGACTCGTCATTGTAGAGGACTCGTCATTGTAGTGGACTCGTCATTGTAGTGGACTCGTCATTGTAGTGGACTCGTCATTGTAGTGGACTCGTCATTGTAGTGGACTCGTCATTGTAGAGGACTCGTCATTGTAGTGGACTCGTCATTGTAGTGGACTCGTCATTGTAGTGGACTCGTCATTGTAGAGGACTCGTCATTGTAGTGGACTCGTCATTGTAGAGGACTCGTCATTGTAGTGGACTCGTCATTGTAGTGGACTCGTCATTGTAGTGGACTCGTCATTGTAGTGGACTCGTCATTGTAGAGGACTCGTCATTGTAGTGGACTCGTCATTGTAGAGGACTCGTCATTGTAGTGGACTCGTCATTGTAGAGGACTCGTCATTGTAGTGGACTCGTCATTGTAGTGGACTCGTCATTGTAGTGGACTCGTCATGTAGTGGACTCGTCATTTTAGTGGACTCGTCATTGTAGAGGACTCGTCATTGTAGTGGACTCGTCATTGTAGTGGACTCGTCATTGTAGTGGACTCGTCATTGTAGTGGACTCGTCATTGTAGTGGACTCGTCATTGTAGTGGACTCGTCATTGTAGTGGACTCGTCATTGTAGTGGACTCGTCATTGTAGAGGACTCGTCATTGTAATAGACTTGCCAGTGTAAGAAATATTACTATTATTATTATTATTATTATTATTATTATTATTATTATTATTATTATTATTATTATTATTATTATTATTATTATTATTATTATTTGTAGTTGTTGTTGTTTGTTGATGGTGTCCTTACTAATTTTATCATTATCAATAAATTAAAAACAATTATGCTGTTTCTTCCTCTCTCTCTCTCTCTCTCTCTCTCTCTCTCTCTCTCTCTCTCTCTCTCTCTCTCTCTCTCTCTCTCTCTCTCTCTCTCTCTCTCTCCTCTCTCCTCCCCCTCTCTCTCCACCACATGTACTCAACCACACGTACGTCTCTCTCCCACACAGGCCAACGTGACCAAAGAGGAGTACGACCAGGCCTATAGCGAGTACATGCGACTCGTGCAGGAGGAGGCCAAGAACACCGAGTCGTACTTGAGAGACGAGGACGAGCAGGAGGACGAGGAGGGAGAACAGAAGGTGGCGCAGCAGAGGAGACCTGAAGTGGCAGAGTACCGCTTCTTCAGCACTGGTGTCTCCCACCACTCAAGAAGTAAGAGAGAGAGAAAGAGAGAGAGAGAGAGAGAGGAGAGAGAGGAGAGAGAGAAGAGAGAGAGAGAGGAGAGAGAGAGAGAGAGAGAAAGAGAGAGAGAGAGAGAGAGAGAGAGAGAGAGAGAGAGAGAGAGAGAGAGAGAGAGAGAGAGAGAGAGAGAGAGAGAGAGAGAGAGAGAGATCATGTTCGTACAGCATAGTGACATCGACGAAATAGTCAGATAATCAGACGAAATCGCTGGCCTACAGATCACATGGAGGGAGATGTGTGGCTGTCAGAGTACACACTGACAGCCACACATCTCCCGCTGTTTAATAGCTAATTTTAGTTATTAAATTATTCTTGACTGGTGTTGAAGAGGTGAGACGGAGACTCAATGACCCTCGTGTAAGTGATGGGGGGTTTAAGCCGTCATTAACTAACACAGGTAAGCCAGTGGCTCCTTAACCACTGAGTGGGTCGTTTTCCTGACAGACAAAACACCACCTCAGTTAAGGGACGCTACCTAACAGAAAATGAAGAGAGAAAAAGCAGTTTTGGAAGCATCAGAAATGTTACTCACTGGTATATTGTGTACAAAGGTACAACAAAATTTTACAACTCTTACTCTCTAGATCAGTATGGAGTACCATATTATTTACTTAACACGTAGTGTTAAGTAAACCTTTAATAACCTTCGATAACCGTGAAATTCTTCTTTTAGGCGAAATAAATTTTGAAGCGCTAATTCTAATAGATCAAATACATTCTCTGTTTTAGAAGCAAAAAAAGAATTGACACGAAAACATTTAGATTTAGAATTTAGAATTAAGCTGGATGCGTGTGGGTAGACCCGGCCTCTCTATATTCAATCAGTCGTGCAGTACTAACAAAAGGTGAATTAGAGGGAATTAGAGACACTTCTTAATGTGATTTGACCTCTCAGGAGGGCGGGTGGGGGAGGGAGGGAGGGGAGATTGCAGGAGGGAAGGGAGGAAGGGAGGGAAGAGAGACAGAGGGGGGGGATGAAGGGGGAATAAGGATAGGTTGATGTAACCTTTCTCATCATCATTCATCTCCCCTCTCTCTCTCCTCTCTCTCCTCCTCCTCTCTCTCTCTCTCTCTCTCCCTCTCTCTCTCTCCTCTCTCTCTCTCTCTCTCTCTCTCTCTCTCTCTCTTCCATATATACTTCAGTAGGTCACACTATCAGTGGTCAGTGGGTCACAGTGTTCAGAGGGGTCACAGTGTTCAGTGGATCACAGTGTTCAGTGGGTCACAGTGTTCAGTGGGTCACAGTGTTCATTAGGTCACAGTAATCAGTGGGTCACAATAGTCAGTGCGTCACAGTGTTCAGTGGGGTCACAGTAGACAGTGGGCCACACCTGTCAGTGGGTCACAGCTGTCAGTGGGCCACAATGTTTAGTAGGTCAGAGTGTTCAGTGAATCAGTGTTCAGTGAGTTACAGTGTTCAGTGGATCACAGTAGTCAGTGGGTCACAGTAGTCAGTGGGTCACAGTAGTCAGTGGGTCACAGTAGTCAGTGGGTCACACTATCAGTGAACAGTTTTCCAATCTTCAACACCTGAGTGTTCCAATATTCAACACCTGAGTGTTCCCTCTACAACACCTGAGTGTTCTCATTTACAAAACCTGAGTGTTAAAATATTCAACACCTGAGTGTTCCCATCTACAACACCTGAGTGTTCCAATATTCAACACCTGAGTGTTAAAATATTCAACACCTGAGTGTCCCAATCTTCAACACCTGAGTGCTCCAATAATCAACATCAGAGTGTTTCAATCTTCAGCACCTGGGTGTTCCCATCTACAACACCTAAGTGTTCCAATATTCAACACCTGAGTGTTCCCCTCTACAACACCTGAGTGTTCCCATTTACAACACTTGAGTATTAAAATATTCAACACCTGAGTGTTCCAATCTTCAACACCTGAGTGTTCCCATTTACAACACTTGAGTATTAAAATATTCAACACCTGACTGTTCCAATCTTCAACACCTGAGTGTTCCCATTTACAACACCTGAGTATTAAAATATTCAACACCTGAGTGTTCCAATATTCAACACCTGAGTGTTCCCATTTACAACACCTGAGTGTTCCAATCTTCAACACCTGAGCGTTCCAATTTTCAACACCTGAGTGTTCCAATATTCAACACCTGAGAGTTCCAATATTCAACACCTGAGTGTTCCCATTTACAACACCTGAGTGATAAAATATTCAACACCTGAGTGATAAAATATTCAACACCTGAGTGCTCCAATATTCAACACCAGAGTGTTCCCATTTACATCACCTGAGTGTTCCAATCCTCAACACCTAAATCTCATATTTGTCAATTTTTATTCTGTGGATGTATATACAACGTTTATATGCTATGTAATGTGTTTCTTATATAATTTTGAAGAAAGTATCATAGATGGATCAATGAAAATGTCTATATTTAATGTGTCCAAGAGAGATTATTATTACGTAGTATTACTATGGCATCATGAGTAGAGAGAGACTTAGTGATTTTAATGTCTACCTGCACACCAGCACAGTGTGTAAGTATACTAGGTACAGGTACACATAAGCATAATTATCAGAGTACATATAAAATACTCAATAACTTTAAAACACTTGAAATTTTGGAAAGTTTCTAGACATAATAGATGTGCTCACAAAGAATGTAAACAAACCAGGTGGGATATGCCATATTTGAAAGACCACTTGCCGAGTAGCAAATTTTGGTCATAATTTGAAATCGCCATATTAGTGGAACGCTGTAAGGCGAAACGCCGTAAAGCGGGGCCTTACTGTAAACAAGGTATGATAGGGTAAGAGGTACATGGGACAAAAGGAAAATGACAAGAGCAAGTAAGAGAGAGGCGAAAGTGTATAAACTAAGAGAGGAGGAAGTTAGGGTGAGATATAAGCAACTATTCAATTCAATTCAAGTTTATTCTCTATAAGGGTTACAATGTGGGGTTTACAGGTTTTGGGTATTGCGTGGTTTGCATGTTATAAAATACTAATTTCAGAGGGGGCCACTAGGACACCTAGCATGGCTAGGCATTTCGAGCAGACTTAGATTAATTCTTAACATTAAATCCTTACAGATTATGGTATTAAGGGTAAGTGACTACATCATAATTTGTGAGTTCAGCAATGTGAATGCTTTTGTTTTGGCACAATACAAGGTGTCTATATTGGAGTACCATAGGCAAACTTATGACTAGTTAGGATTTATTATTTTAAGATTAAGATTAGTATTTGTGGGTTTATAGTCAGTGGGTGAGTGAGTGTAATTGTGAACCACCAGGTGGTTATCATGTAGTTAGTTGTCGGGGTGGATCAGGGAGATAAGATGTTTTCTAACTGTAGTTTTGAAAGTGATGAATGTGTCTGCAGTTCTAGAGTTTTCAGGTAGGGTGTTCCAGATTTTAGGTCCTTTGGAATACATTGAATTTTTGTAAAGGTTTAGTTGAACACGGGGAATGTCATAGAGATGTTTGTGTCTGGTGTTATGCCTGTGGATCCTGTCACAACTATCAAGAAAGCGTTTTATGTCAAGGTTAATATTGGAATTTAAGGTCCTGTAGATGTAGATTGCACAGTAGTAAGTGTGGATGTACTAAACAGGGAGTAGATCTATGAAGAGTGGGGGGGGGGTGTTGCCAGGGATAGGATTTAGTGATTATTCTTACTGCGGCTTTTGTTGGGTTATTATTGGCTTTAGGTGTGTTGCTGCAATTGAACCCCAAGCACAGATAGCATAGGTGAGGTATGGATATACAAGTGAATGGTATAGTGTGAGAAGGGCAGTTTGCGGCACGTAGTATCGTATCTTGGAGAGGATCCCCACCGTTTTGCAGATGTAGTATATACAGACTTTGCAAAAGCCTTCGACAAGTGTGACCATGGCGTAACAGCGCACAAAATGCGTGCTAAAGGAATAACAGGAAAAGTCGGTCGATGGATCTATAATTTCCTCACTAACAGAACACAGAGAGTAGTAGTCAACAGAGGAAAGTCCGAGGCAGCTACGGTGAAAAGCTCTGTTCCACAAGGCACAGTACTCACTCCCATCTTGTTCCTCATCTTCATATCTGACATAGACAAGGATGTCAGCTACAGCACCGTGTCTTCCTTTGCAGATGACACCCGAATCTGCATGACAGTGTCTTCCATTGCAGACACTGCAAGGCTCCAGGCGGACATCAACCAAATCTTTCAATGGGCTGCAGAAAACAATGTGAAGTTCAATGATGAGAAATTTCAATTACTCAGATATGGTAAACACGAGGAAATTAAATCTTCATCAGAGCACAAAACAAATTCTGGCCACAAAAAAGAGCGAAACACCTACGTCAAAGACCTGGGAGTGATCATGCCGGAGGATCTCACCTTCAAGGACCATAACATTGTATCAATCGCATCTGCTAGAAAAATGGCAGGATGGATAATGAGAACCTTCAAAACTAGGAATGCCAAGCCCATGATGACACTCTTCAGGTCACTTGTTCTGTCTAGACTGGAATATTGCTGCACACTAACAGCACCTTTCAAGGTAGGTGAAATTGCTGACTTAGAAAATGTACAGAGAACCTTCACGGCGCGCATAACGGAGATAAAACACCTCAATTACTGGGAGCGCTTGAGGTTCCTGAACCTGTATTCCCTGGAACGCAGGCGGGAGAGATACATGATTATATACACCTGGAAAATCCTAGAGGGACTAGTACCGAACTTGCACACGAAAATCACTCACTACGAAAGCAAAAGACTTGGCAGACGATGCACCATCCCCCCAATGAAAAGCAGGGGTGTCACTAGCACGTTAAGAGACCATACAGTAAGTGTCAGGGGCCCGAGACTGTTCAACTGCCTCCCAGCATACATAAGGGGGATTACTGGCACTGGACAAGCACCTAATGTCGGTTCCTGACCAGCCGGGCTGTGGCTCGTACGTTGGTTTGTGTGCAGCCAGCAGTAACAGCCTGGTTGATCAGGCTCTGA